TCAATTTAAACTCTAATATTTTATTTTATTTTTTCACAGTCTAAACCATTTACATTTTTTCATTAAGTAAAATTGATGTAAAAAAGATGTTTTAATCATTAAACTCAATTGAAAATGGTATTTTAGAATTTTTTTTGTACACTTACATTGAGTTCAAAAATTGAATAAATTTTTTGATTCTAAGGTTTCGTTTGGTTCATTGAAGTGATATGGAATGATGTGGAATAAAGTAAAATAGTCATTCCTTAAGTCTTTTTAACGAAACGATCAATCATTTATAATAGTGAAAAAAGATTTTGTTTATAATGTATTTTTTATCATTATTTTAGTAAACCAAGAGTAAAATAAATATTTTAATGAAATGATAATTCTATTCTATAAATTATATATGTTAATGTAAATTGTAAATTGTGTAAATTACCACACCACCAACTTCACCTACCATCTCCACTACCACCCACCACCTCCACTACCATCCACTACCACCACTCACCTACCTCACCTACTCCCAAATCCTCTCCTATATAATAGCTTGTAATATACAAAATAAATATAACAATCTTGTAATACATCAATCAATAATACATCAATTTTAACATGGTATCAGAGCAAGGTTAAGAATTTAGTATTTTTCGTTTCACCGGCGGGCGGCAACCTCGCCTTGGCCGCCCGCCGGACCTCAATCTAGTCCGCTAAAATTCTCTACACATACCTTCATTCTTCTTCACCACCTCGCCGAAGCAAACCCAAAATCCCTCTGGGAAATTTCGTCGAACACCATGTCTGCAACAATGATGGTTCAAAACACACACAGAGCACCCACCATGAGATGAATGGGGGTCCTTTCCTTTGTTGTTTGTTCTTCATGATGATCAAAATCATCTAGGAATGTTTGTTCATTTCCTTTCCATTGCTGATGCCTTCAAGTTCCCTTCCTTGATACAGGCTTCTATCTCCCTCCCCCTCTCCTCATCCTCAATTACCGCCGCTGCTGTAGGCCCTGCTCCACTGATGGTGCATCCAAAAGCCCCAGCCTCCATGGCCGCCTTCTTCACCGCTTCCATCCCTGGAATCAACGGTGCCCTCCTCGGCTCCACCGTCTTATCCGACGGCCTCTACAACAGCTAGACGTGGCTCTGCCCCTTGCGCTCATTCAGCGAGCTCGCACGGCCTACGCACCTCATGTCTGTCACCGGAAGCCTCGCCACTGCTTCCAGCCGTGACTGCTCACTGCCGAGCCACCACCGCACCGCTGAGACTTCATCGGCCTCGACCATCACCGCCGCGAGGTAGAAATCAAGGTGGAAGTAATCCTTATCACGGAGGTGCAGTGGCACGGGGTACATCACCATCGTCATCCAACGCCGACCACGCCACCAACAACCTCCGCGACACCGCCGCGATCGCCTCCGCACGCGCCGCCGACCTGTACGGGATGCACATCCTGAACTTCTCTCTCTCTTTGCCTCTTCTCTCTCTCTCTCTATATTTCTGATTTTTGGTGAGACCAACCCACGGTCTCTCTCTCTCAAACAACAAAGTCCCATATTTACACATGTTGTTCTCTCTCCATTTACACACGGATCCAACTCAGATTGGCCTGGATGTTATCAAACGCCGCTGTGATAAATAATTAATTCTCTGGTGTTGAGAGTGGGATATGAACCCACGCCCTTTCAGTGGTACCCTTGTTGATATTCGTCATGTTTTTTTTTTCAGCCATGCTATCACCCACTCTCTCTCTCTCAGACAGCTTTTCTCTCTTTCACTTTACTTTTTCCTTCACCACATACCACCCAACCTGTCTCCACTCTTATTTGAATTTTTCCCTTTTTTTTGTTTTTCTTTCTTTTGCCTTTTCTTATCATGACACCCACATGCCATGTCTCTCAGTCTTTTGCCAAGTTCTTTTCTTTTTCTTCTTCTTATTCCCTTATTTCTTCTTTTCGTTTTTCATATATATATATTAAAAACAAAAACACAAAAAAAAAAAAAAAAAAAAAGACAAATAGAGACAGATCTGAGTGTGCATCATCAATCAACACAGATCTGAGATTTGTGTGTCATCAGACAGATCTGAGTCAGCGATGGTGATTGCGATGAAGGTGGACAACGGAGGTTGCGATCGGCGATGGTGACTGCGACGAAGGTAAACGACGATGGCTGTAATGGATGACACAAAACAAAACACCCACACCCACAGTGGGATTTTTCTTCTCTACTCTACTGCAGGTCTCTTCTTTTTGCCTCCGTCCTGGGCGGCTCTTGACGGTGTTGCCTCCGTGTTTCCCCCTCCACTGGGCACGATCACTCCACCCTGCTCCTCCACTACAACATATGGCGGCCCTCCAAATCGGAACATAACGGTAGCCTTCCGCTTCAGCTCCTTATTTTCTGCTTTCAGCACACTTATCTCTGCTCGCGCATCCTTATACATGCGTTGGAGCAGAGCCAGTTGGGCGTTTAAATGCTGCACCTCATTTGTCCTACTCTGCAGCCGGTGCGACAAGTTTGTAACTGCCGTCATGGACTCCACACATGCCTTCAAAGTATACTGATTATCCTCCACATCTGTTTGCACTGCCATTTTTTGCTCCACCGACTGCATCGGAAAGTTCAACGGAGCAAACCCAGTGGTGTTTGGTTGAGGTTCATGGGACACCGCACCAGTTATCTCTCTTGTGGACTCGTTGAGGTCGGGAAAGAGAGTAAGCAGAGGGCGGGACGACGAGGCCATTTTCTGGGCAACAGCGTGTTACAGACTATCTCTCTCAGCCACACGCACTATCTCTCTCAGCAAAACGAAGAGTTTTTTTTTCAGAGGTTTCTCTCAGTTTTTCTGTCTCAGCTTCTGCCTCAGCCTTAGCCTCCGTCTTGGTTAAATAGACGAGGCAGCCACGCGCATCGCGCGCCTCTTGACGCCAGACAAACGGGCACGCCAGCCAAGGCACTCACGTGTCTCGCCATCATATCTGGCACGCCTTTTGATGCATCGGGCACGCCTTTTGATGGCACGCCTTTTGACAGATTGGGCACACCTTTTGAGGGCACGACTTTTGTGGGCTCGATATCTACATCCATGTATATTTTTTGGGCAGCCTATATACACCCTCATACAGTGTCTTCTACAACGGTCAGCTTTATCAATCCCTTTGTTCCAACCTCAAATAGGTTTCTCTCTTCACACCTATTTGAGTTTGAGGGGGGGTTATACATATATCATGGGGCGCACTCCCTAAGTCGCCCCCTTGGTGCACCACCACAAGCTTCTACATCGGTCCGACATGACCCCGTAAACTGTCTTCTACAACGGTCCGACATGACCCCGTAAACTGTCCTGCTACAACGGTCCGACATGACCCCATAAACTGTCTGCTACATCGGTCTGACACGACCATACCGTGTCTCCTATCCTGTTTTATTTTATTTATCAGTTTATTTTTCTGTTTTGTGACTCTCTCCAAACTCAAGTTGGCTAGTGCCTATCCTCCTTGAGTTTGAGGGGGGCTGTTAATGTAAATTGTAAATTGTGTAAATTACCACACCACCAACTCCACCTACCATCTCCACTACCACCCACCACCTCCACTACCATCCACTACCACCACTCACCTACCTCACCTACTCCCAAATCCTCTCCTATATAATAGCTTGTAATATACAAAATAAATATAACAATCTTGTAATACATCAATCAATAATACATCAATTTTAACAATATAAATTTTGGATAATTAATGTAGTGTTTTAATATAATTCAATACATCAATTGGAGTGATTGTTTTGTTTCTAAAGTATCATGTTTTAAAACACATTCCAAGTTAAGATAATATTTTTTAAATTATCATTGTATATTGCTTAAATTCATTACAGTTAAATAAAATATTGAAAATATTTTTATTTATATTTCTACCTAATTTACTCATAAATGTAGTTAGTAGCAAATTCACTATTTTATTTATACGTTAAAAAGTATACAAATATATAAATACTTTTCATATTAAATTAAACTAACAGGTTTTTACTTTATTTATTAATTTGTGTATCTCTAGTGAAAATATGATGGGTTATGAGTTGAGCAACTTTATTTTAATATTGTCATCAATTTAAATATGGAACATCAAAATAATACAAATTGACATATAGGGATAACAATATGATTAATCCAATTAATAATCTAATAATTTATTAAACTAAGGGAGTAAAAGGATCCTGGTAAAGCAAGGTACCGCGCCGTGCTTAAAAAAGTTACCAAAATCATGTTAACCCTTTTTTTTTTTTTGTCAAATGTGTTATTGTTATCAAACTATAGATGTCCAATCAATTTGTTATTTTGACATTCATGATTTACTCAATAACCTTACAATATAAATAGTTTAAATTAACAAAAAAACAAAAGTTCAAGACAAATCCCCATGTAAACATCACGACAGCCTTTTAAAACAACAGCCACGGGCTCAACTGGTGAAAGAGTCAACCGCAGCTGCTTATCAAGCCAAATTCCAAAAATGAGCCTCACATTTATAAGAAAATGAAATAACAAAAAGGACTTTTCTGATAAAAAAAAAAAAAAAAATGCCAAAATACAACCCTTGCTAAAAGGGCCCTAACAAAGAAGTAATTTGTTGAAACAAATGGGGCAATTCCAGTAAAAAAATACAAGCCATTTTCACTAATGCTGTGTTTGGTTGGGGTTTTTGGGGTGGGATTTGGAAAAGGAATGAGAAATGTAATCCTATTTATGTTTGGTTATAATAAAAAATATATGAGAAAAGAAAGGGGGTGAGAAATAAATAAAGAAATAGGAGACCTTTTAGGACATCAATTCTATTTTATAACCAACACAATCAAACATAGTTGGGATTTGGAATTCTATTAATTCTTTCTCCTTTTCCTTTCATTTCTATTTTCCTTTCCATTTCTCTTCCCAAATCCCCCAACCAAACATAGTGTAAAGAGATTCTTATATATATAGATATATTTTGTTGGCACCTTTCATCATATATATAACTATCATGAGTAATTTCATGACTCCTCCTTTGTCGTATTTTTTCAATATGTTCTTTCTCTTCACCTAAATTATTTTGTTAAATTTTGTTAACAACAAACTTATCAAGAGCTCTTTTTTTCCAAGTCCTCTCATGGGTTTGAGATGTGCTATTTTCTCAGTACTCATTTTCCTGGTGTGTGTAACTGTGAAATCCCAACAAAATCAAGCAAGCAAGATAATCAGTTTGGGCTTCTCTCTTTCTCCGACTAATCCTCCCACATTCTGGCCTTCTCCTTCTGGCCTATTTGCATTTGGTTTCTACACACAACATACAGGCTTTAAGGTCGGAATTTGGTTGGTGGGCAACAATGGCAACATAACAATTGTATGGACTGCAAATAGAGATGATCCACCAATCACCTCCAATTCGACACTCGAGCTCACCAGGAGTGGGAAACTTGTTCTAAGAACAGAAGAGCATCGTGGAGAAGAGAAGCTCATAGCAAACACCACAGGGTCTGCTGCCTCTGCCTCCATGCTCGATTCTGGAAATTTTGTTCTGTACAATGACACTCAGCAACAGCAACCCATTTGGCAGAGTTTTGATTTTCCAACTGACACAATTCTAGGAGGACAGAATCTGTCAATGGATATGAGGCTAACCTCTCATTTATCAGACACCGACCACTCAACCGGGCAGTATGAAATCATTTTGCAGACTGATGGGAACCTCGTTATGTACCCACTAAACATTGAACAAACCCCAACCGATGCTTATTATGCCTCGGGGACTAATGGGTATGCCCCTCTTTTCCTTTCCTTCAATCATTCTACAGGCACTCTGGCTCTCATAAACAGCACTAGTTTCGAAGCGATCATATCCTTGCACTCAGGGTTGACTAGCAACAACAACTACAAAACAATTATTTATCGCGCAACACTTGATTTTGATGGGTTTTTCAGATTGAACTCTCATAAATTCAATGCGAGTGGTGGTGAATCCCAGATTCAAACTGAATGGATACAACCGGCCAATCCATGTAAAGTGAGGAATTTTTGTGGCTTCAACAGTTACTGCACATTTAATGATAACCAGCCATATTGCCTTTGTGTTCCCGGTACCGATTTCATTGATCCCAACAAGTGGTCTCTCGGCTGCGACAAAAACTTCTCGCGAAGAGTGTGCAAGGATGGGATAGAAAACGACACCAACTCATTTGACATTACTACCATGGAGCAAATGTCTTGGGGAGACTTTCCCTATGTTGAAATAATGCAGGTGTCAATGGAAGATTGCAAGAAGTCTTGTTTAGAAGATTGCAATTGCGAAGCAGCCTCATTCGTGGACTCGACTTGCAGGAAACATAGTCTTCCAATTAGATATTTTGAAAGAGACGTAGGAGGGGGAGCGTTCACAGCTCTCTTTAAGGTGCGTGTAGCCAAAAGCGAGAAGCCGCCGTTGCCAGAAACACTAGTTTCGGGCCGGAGCAAAAAAGAAGTAATGTCAATACTTGTTATGACTATTGGTTTGCTTACAAGTTCGTGTGTTGCTCTTGCCATCTCAGGCATATATGTTTACAAATTCAGAGTTTTGAAGTACAAAAGGTTGTTGCAATATGGAAACGTGGGTATTATGCAGGAGCTCACCTTGCATTTGTTTTCATACAGTGAGTTGAAAAAAGCAACCAATGGGTTCAAAGAAGAGCTGGGAAAGGGCTCGTTCGGAGCAGTTTACAAAGGCACTTTGTGCAGAGGTAAAAAGTTGATTGCGGTGAAGAGACTTCAGAAGATTGTGGAAGAAGGCGAAAGGGAGTTTCAGGCAGAGATGCGAGCAATCGGGAGAAGGCACCACAGAAACTTAGTCCAACTGCTCGGATACTGTATTGAGGGTTCTAAAAGGCTTTTGGTTTACGAGTACATGAGCAATGGCTCCCTTGCAGATCTTCTTTTTAAATCTCCAAGGCGCCCAGATTGGAATGAGAGAATTAAAATTTCCCTAAATGTCGCAAGAGGGATCCACTATCTGCATGAAGAGTGTGAGGCTCCTATAATTCATTGTGATATAAAGCCTCAAAACATATTGATGGATGAGTTTTGGAATGCCAAAATCTCCGACTTCGGGTTGGCCAAGTTTTTGATGCCTGATCAAACGCGGACCTTTACAGGAGCCAGAGGGACTAGAGGATATCTGGCTCCAGAATGGCAAAGAAACATTCCCATATCGGTCAAAGCAGATGTTTACAGTTATGGGATAGTCCTTTTGGAAATTGTTTGTTGCAGAAGAAGCATGGAAGTTAATGTATCAACACCAGAGGAGGTTATTTTGTCTAATTGGGTCTATAACTGCTTTGCTGAGAGGGAGTTGAACAAGCTTATGGTTGTGGGTGATGAAGAAGTTGACATGGAGACATTAGAGAACATGGTTAAAGTGGGACTTTGGTGCATTCAAGATGAACCGGCTCTTCGTCCTTCCATGAAAAGTGTAGTTTTGATGCTTGAAGGCATTACTGATATATCAATCCCTCCATGTCCAACTACCTACTAAGGAATCCATGTGAACTGCACTAATAATATATTTATTTATATGTAATTTATTGTTGAGGTTCATGTAATTTTAATTTTTATTAATGAATAAGTGATGAGAAAACTCTATGTTTTCTCTTGTTTTCTCTCAACAGTATGAAGTTTCAATGAAGCTGGAGCAATTATAGATTTTTTAGGATGAATGGAATTAATCTGGTATAATCTTTTTAATTTTTGACATTTGATAAAAGATTGTGATCATTCTTTTACCAATAAATATGAAGCTTTTGGTGTTGAACACTAATTTTTTTATGAAGAATATTCAATCTTTTTAGCATGTTTTGGTCGTTGAGTGGTGGATTTGAGCAAATTTAATTTAGGAATTTGTTTTGATTGGGTAACTCTGCCGGGGTTGTTTAACAACTCTGCCGGTCCCAAGCCCGGATAAAGGAGGAGAGTTGTGTGTTAGGTAGCCGACAACCAACACGTAAAAAAGCCGCTTGTATCCCTAACAATTTGTTTTGATTGGGTAGTATGATATATTTTAGCTGTTTGCATGCTGTTTGTTGAATTGCCTCAATGGTATAATTACAATAAAATCAACCCATTGTTTATAATCTGTGTTATGTTCTGTTTCCTTGATGTATTTAAATAGATAGATAAGAGAAATGAACTTCGACTAATGAATTATAATAGTAACCAGATCACATCATAGCTACAAGGAAAATGCCTGAGAAAAAGGAATTCTAGCAGTGGCATTAATTTATATTCTGCTAATAACCAAGTAAAAATATTAAAAAAAAAAGATGATGAAAATTAGCAATTCTCTAGCATATGGTGGCATCTGTCTGAAGGTGGGTGTGCACTCTCACGATTATGTGTTACTAAATTAATTAGGGATGTGTTTTGTTCTTTTGGCTGAGATGATTGCTTTTGGGTTTTGGAATTTTAGGTTGAAACTGTGGAAGCTTTAATTGTCTAATCTTTCCAGCTTTTTTATCTTCAAAATCTCTGATTTTTTAGGATCTTGAGTCATTTGGTATACATGTCTTTTGGTTGTTTCCTGTGGTAGTTTTTGGTTGAATTTGTGTTTAATTTGTTTTCGGAATGCGATGTGGTTATTTTTGACAGTTTTCCGTTGAATGTGATTTGATTTGGTTAATTTTTGTGATTGAATATTCTCCTAATTCTTTAAATTCCTGTGTGTGAGTAATAAAAATAAAAAATAAAGAAAAATTCATGCTAAACACTCTTTTCTTACAGTGGGCATTTTTTGTGTCTATGATACTGGGAGGCAACATACCTGAAACCCCACTCAACAGCCTACAAAAACTAAAACATTTTAAAGGCTCTAGCGTTTTCAAACATTCTTTTGCAAGCTAACAAAACACAAAACAAACTTATGGTTCGATCTTTGATTTTAAATTGCAGATCCTGTCGCTCCACCACCATGTGAAGCTAAAGTTACTATGGGAACTACATTTATCATTATATTTAAAGATGAATTAATTATGTTAAGCAAACTCAGACATTAATTGTTGTGGGTGATGAAGAAGTTGACATGAAGACACTAGAGAACATGGTTCAAGTGGGACTTTGGTCCATTCAAGATGAACCAGCTCTTCATCCTTCAACGAAAAGCTTAGTTTTGATGCTTGAAGGCATTGCTGATATATCAATCCCTCCATGTCCAACTAGCTACTAACGAATCCATGTGAACCGCAGTAATAGTATATTTATTTGAAAGATTGTTGCTTATATATGTGTGTGTGTGTAATTTATTATTGAAGTTCATGTAATTTTATTGATTTCCTCTCTTCATGCAAGTGCACAAATAGTTTGCAGTTAATGAGTACTGAGCGTAATAAAAATTTTATATATGTTGTTCTAATCAATAAATTAGATATTAAAAAATCTAGAAATCCCCTAGATGTTGATTTGTGATTATGTATCAATTTTAAGCAGTATATAACAATCCCAATCAAACAACTAAGACAAATCGATACAACGATTTTACGTGAAAAAACCACAATTGGACACCTCCAATTGTAAGAAAAAAACCACGGGCAACAGCCACAAAACAATCTACTAAGAAGATATAAAGGAATTACACAGGTATACTCTCAATTACCTAGCGAATCCACACAAGAATTGAACCAACCTCTATGTGCCTCTTCCAACCCTGTCTTCACCTCGGAATTGTCTTGACGATGAGCCACTCCGGAATCCACCAAAGCTTCAGGATCCACCGAAGAACAACTCTCTCTTTTGTATAGAATAAACAAATAATCCTTTGATGTATACTCTTTAAACTATGAGTTGAATACTCAATCAAAACATCAGAGAAAACTAGCAAAATATCCCTAGATATAAACCCTAGAACCCAAGAAGAAGATATGGAGAAGTTATCCTAAATTTGGACTGAAACATGTATTTATAGAAAACTGTCCCGCAATCTCCGCTCGAGCGTCGGATTGGCCGCTCGAGCGGACCTACGCTCGAGCGCGGAAAGTTCCGCTCGAGCGGGAAAAAAACAACATCCAGTATTTTTGCAGGCGAACAAATTTCTGAAACCCAGCATTCTTCGCTCGAGCGGGGGAATGTCCGCTCGAGTGGACAGGCAACTTTGAATGCATTTTTGCATTTTGCTTCGGGGGCTCTGCCCCTAGACCCCTGCGAACTGACCGGGCAGCTCGATCCCCATCATAATCAGCGAAGTGGCAATCTTGAAGGTATTAACATCACAAACTTCTCTGCAAGGCACAATTCGGGTTGGATTCGCATCTAAACACTCATAGCTTCACTGAAATAAAAAGTGCGAAAACAAATACAACTTAAAGGAATTTTGTCAAACGGAGTTGCCAAGAATAAAAATCTAACAGATATAATTTTCTGTGAGTCTGAATTTTCACCATTTTCTTGATGAAATGGTTGAACGCTATCATGTGGCACCGTAGTAGATACGTTTTGGATAGTACTATGCATAGTACTTCTATATGCGTATCAGGACATGTTATGTCTAATTTTTTTTTCTTTCTTTCTCAATTTTTGACCTACTCCAAAAGTACATGGTATATACCTAAGTCATACTTCCGTTAGAATTGTAAAATTAGAGCAAAACCCACTTTACCCTTTTGTAACATTTAAACCTATTCAAAAGACATTTGCATGGTTTTGGTTGGACTAAAATGCAATGTTACTGGCATTTGTAAAGCGACCTTGATATTGTTCTTGTTCTCTTTTCTCTGATCTTCCCTTTTTCTTTTTGTCTCTCTTATGTTAAGACTAACTTCTAATTGTTTCAAATTGACAACATGAATACAAACTAAAGGATAAATTTAATAGACATTGTCATCAATATTAGCAAACACAGAGAATACAAAATAAGGTAGTCGGAAACAAAATCACATACCAATGATACAGAAGTTCCAGGGAAAAAAAAAGAAGAAAAAAAATCATGAATTAATAAAGAGGAAATCTGCCATATTATATAAACTACATCAACAACGGTTCAGTTTCCCAATGATCTAAGGTGATAATTTTGGAGCTGTAGAAAGTTGACACTACGGCAATGGTATAAAGTAGTCCTACACCGCACACGGCAAACAAAACACAAATGAATCCCAAAAAACTTTACTACGTCAATTTTTCTATACAATTTTGTGTGAAAAGAATCAAAAAAAATAAAATGCAAGGTAGTTTGAAAAGGGGTTGTTTAAAACAAAGTGAATGTTATATGTACTTGTTTGATGTAGGTCTTGTTAGGTTTTTATAATTGGCAATTCTGTTTGACAAAAACTTTTAATTTTAAATTTTATTTGCTTTTTTGTTTCAGTGAATTGGTGAGTATTTAAATGTAAATCCAACTCAAATTGTGCATGTGTAAAGAAGTTTGTGTTAAAATTCCGTATCTTTAACATTCTTTATTTTCCATTTTACTGACTATCTACGAGGATCGAGCGGTCTTTCATGCGCTCGAGCAATGATGTGGTTCATCGCATATCTCTACTTGCATCTGATCTTCTGGAAGACAAATTTTACTGCTCGAGCTGTAGATGTTGCCTTTGAGCAATGGGCCTATATGTCAGCACCGCCTTTTAATTTCACCGCTCAAGCGGTAAAGTGTGTGCTCAAGCAGTATTCGCGGCTCTGTTTGGTATAAAGTGCATTGTTTGCTATTTTTAGGATTCAACCCGTGTAAATTCTCAAAGAGGAGAGCTACCAAGGTTTTCTATTTTGGTTTCCTTGATGATTTGAGAGTGATCGATAGATTTACAAACTTTTTATTGACATCATCAAGGGGTTTGTTTTTATTATTTCATTTACAAAAGAGAAAGTTGTTCTTCGGTGGAATCCGAGAAACTTAGACTTGAAGTTTTGGTAGATTCCGAAGTGACTTGGATTTGACATCGACGTTGTGAATTCAACATTAGGCAAGACAATTCCGAGGTGAAAACGGTGATGGAAGAAGCATATCATGTTTGGTTCAATTCGGGCGTAGATTCGTTAGGTAATTGAGAATTCTTATATGTAATTCTTTTGTCTTTTTAGTGGATTGTTTTGTAATTTTGACCCGTGATTTTTTTATCACAATTGGAAGTGTCCAATTGTGATTTTTTCCATATTTAGATCATTGTGTCGATTTGTTAATGATTGTTTGATTGTGATTGATATTTACTGTTTAAAATTAAAACATAATCACAAATTAATAATATTTTGAGAGTTTTTCGATTTTTCAGGTTTCATAGACACAATATCAAACATGCTGTATGTATGAGCCACAATTGCTATACATTGGCTAATTGCAATGAATTTGTACAAATTTGAAAAAAATCAATAAATAAATAAATAAATATTGAGAACTATAACAAACTTGCCTGGCCATTACATAATCAACAATGAAGGAAGCAAACTGTGGATTCGAAATCAAATATATGATTTTGTACCATTTGTTCACTGCCAAAGCGAAATGAAAACTAGAATATGAAAAGTAGAATATGCAAACGAACCCAAAATGGGCACAAGGTTGAGCTCATAATATTTGTCACAAGAAGCTATACATTTTATAAAAAAGAATTCACATATGTTATTATGGGTTGTTTTTTAAGGGTATTTTAGGCATTTTTGCAGAGTTATTTTAAGGGAAATTGTGGGGACATAT